TTGCCCCAGGCGCTGTCTCAATTTGAGGTCTTCGTTGTAGCGGACCCCGTCCATAGGCTCCAAAGCCTTGGCCATTTGACGAGCAAGGCGTTGACGCCGCCTTTGGAGCGCCCTCTTTGATACAGCTGGAGCGCCTTCAGTAGCCATCTTCTTGGGGGAGGAGATGCCCAGATCTGCGATCTCGACCACGTTGGGCGACGCGGAGACGCCACGTGGTGCGAGTGCAGGAGAATCCGCTTCCCGGGTGTTTCTCTTTCGAGATTCATCCGCACCCCCAGCCTGATAGTTGTTTGCGGAAAAAGTTGCTGTATTCATTGCTGCATTCATTACAACTTCAATCGTTACAATGAAACAAAAAGATAGCCTTTTTATAAGACCGGTACACAATGAAAACAAAAGAAATACAACTCTTTTCAAACAAACGCAAGATCTGTTTGTCATCTCTTGCTTGCGTGGGTCTTTGGCCTGTGACGGGGATGTTGATATCCGTGGACCACCGGGCAATCAGATCCGCTCCGAGAAAATCGGGCAGAGCTTCGTCTATCCGCGAAGGGTTATAGAAGCAGAACTTCGTCGATCCGCATGAGATCTAGAAGCTATAAGCGTATACCTCGGTTAAAGCGAGGTATTAGCTCTTCTTAGTATTAACGCCAAGGGCTAATACTAAGGATCGGATGATGAAGGCTCTGATCAAGACCTCTCCTCTTCTTGTTGAAGCTCACGGCCACTCTTCACTGCAGCAGGGCTTCGCTAAGGCTCTCCAAAAATCCTCCTCCTTTCCAAAGGCCCAAGGGGGCTATTTATAGTGTTTAGGAGTGTGTGGGGGTAGGTAGGGGACCTCTAGACACCCCTAGGGTGTCCCAAGAAATCCGAGACACGGCCGAGACACCCTAGGGTGTCTCGGCTTGGGCCGAGACACCCTAGGGTGTCTAGGCTTTTCCTAGACACCCCCGGGGTGTTTCGACCTCCCGAGACTCCGTTTGAGGTGATTTGGTTGTTTTCCCTGTAGATTCTTCGTCCGACCTCGGATTTGAGTGATTCCGGGTGCGTTGGATGCTTGACGAAGAGTTTGATCTGCTCTGGTGGGTGGATTATCTGTAGAGTGGTCGAGGCACGAAGGGCGTTGTCTTATTTGTGAGCAGTGCCGGGTTCCCGATTGGTCCGGGTCTTGGTTGATCCGAAATCCTATACGCTCACGTAGCTCGTCGATTCACTTCAGTCGTTCGTCGACGTCAATTGGATTCCTGTGGCTCGGATAGTGACGTTCATCGTCACTCTTGACACTGAACCGTTCGTGGAGACCTATAGGCAATTTTCCATGCCTACAGTTACGCGGTAACCGACGTTGACCCTTAGGGTTTTGACTCGTCATTAACACAGTTTATACTCGTACGTTTGCTGGAGTATACACAGTTTAAGCTCTTAAGGTATTGGAGCATCGCGGTCCCGAGTGTTGGGGCTACAGGACCAACTGTTAAAGCTGATTCATCTGCATGTGTGGATTTTATCCTGAATTTATTGGATTCTCAAGTCACGAGACCAACTAATGAAGCTGATGCGTCAGTGACTCTCGTATTTATAGGATTTTTGGCAAACCCTCAGCCATCAACGGGTTTGATAAGCCTTTACCGACTACCGTTTGAGTCGGGCTAGCATGCGGATTGTTTAAGTACGTTCCGCATGTGACGTTGTGCTAAGAGAGTTAACGCTCTTAGTGCTACGATATTGAATACGTAGACTTCGTCTTTCTCACGGGAATAGACTACCCGGCGACGCGTGTTTGTTTTCGGGGAAAGTTGCTGTTTTCATTGCTTTGAATCTGTTACAACTTTAAACGTTACAACAAGAATCGATAAAAGGTCAGTCTTTTTATAAGACCTCCTTGTGCAACAAAACAAAGATTACAACTTTTCGAAAATAAACACGAGATCCCGTTTTGGTGCGGTCTCGCTTGCGTAGGTCTTTGGCCTGTGACAGGGATGTTGATATCCGTGGACCACCGGGGCAATCAGATCCGTTCCGGATAAATCGGACAGAGTTTCGTCGATCCGCGTGAGATCTAGAAACTTCTAATCCAGAAATATCGGACAGAACTTCGTCGATCCGCGTGAGATCTAGAAGTTCTAAGCGTATACCTCGGCTAAAGCGAGGTAATAGCTCTTCTTAGTATTAACGCTAAAGGCTAATACTAAGGAAGGATGAGAACGGGTGATGAAGACTGATTTAGACCTCTCCTCCTCGGTTGAAGTGCTCGATCAGTGTTTGCTGCAGCAGGGCTTCGCCGAGGCTCTCCAAAAATCCAGATCATTCCAAATGAGGTAAGGGGGTCCTATTTATAGGAAAACAAGAGGGGGGCGTCCGCACAGATCTAGGACACCCCAGGGGTGTCCGCACAGATCTGGGACACCCTTGGGGTGTCTCCAAAAATCCGAGACACCCCTAGGGTGTCTCGGAAATTCCGAGACACCCTTGGGGTGTCTCGGAAATTCCGAGACACCCCTAGGGGTGTCTCGGAAAATCCGAGACACCCCTAGGGTGTCTCGGAAATTCCGAGACACCCTTGGGGTGTCTCGGAATTTCTGAGACACCCCTGGGGGTGTTTCGGGATCCCGAGACGTCCGTAGGTGTGTTTTGATCGTTTCCCCGTAGATTCTTCGTACGAACTCGGATTTGAGTGATTCCGGGTGGAGACCTATAGGCAGTTTTCGATGCCTACAGATACCCCCTCCAAAGTGTTCCTGACTCGTTTCTTTTATAGAAGAGGCTGGAATACTTTGGATGTGATTGGTCTGGCCTTCAGTCGGTGTAAGGACCTGTGGTTAGCTTCAACTCTTGGCTCCTTCGATTTTCGGTCTATTCGATGCTTTGACGAATAGCCGAAGTTCTTCCGGCGCTGCGTTTATCGCTTGTCCGTCGTCGGAGTCTCGAGTCTGCAGCTGATGAATTGAGTTTGGCTCGTGTCATTGAGTTGACTTTGAACTACCTCTGCCACATTGAGCTGGCTTAGGGTTTCGGATCACCATGTGTTGACTTTTTGTCGCAACGCGTTGACTGGCGTTGACCTAGGGTTA